TTATTGGCAATTTTTCTCTTGAAAACTCATTTAAACCCGCTATCTATCCTTCCGAACGAAAGTAAGCAGACCATGAACCCTCGTAATTTCGATATCCGTCATGCATAGGACTTTTTATCCAGTCTTGTGGGCATTTCAAAAATTCAATAAACATTTAATTGGTTTTCGAAATTAACGATATCCAGTCAATCAAACTAGTATCGATTTACCGATTTGGCACCGAAGACGGTTGGCATGACCATTAAATTAAACCGATCTAGGAACCAAGCAAGCAGGAGCAGTACCACTAGGCACTGCTCCATCTTGGCTCTATTTTCCGCCCTTTTTTTGTTCCATTCTCCTCTAGACGCCGTGAATTTTCCAATCTCCCCGTTATTAATGGTAATTTAATGTATTCATGCTTACTGTACTTAATTGTACGGGGAACTAATAAAGTCAACTCACCAAATCAGCGAAAATGCTTGAAAAACAGCGGCGATAAAAGTGAATAGCGTACTTTGCAGCTGAAAAAAAGGTTATTCATTTTACTTCAGAGAATTCATTAAGACTTGGAATTTAATTTAAAAATGCCATTTCAATGAAATATATTCTAAAAAAGGGTGGATAGGAAATAATCAGATCGCGTCAGATTATTACTGGGTAATTGTTTTCGGCGCGTACGGCTCATGTGCATAATAACAACTCTAGCAGAACTCTAACGACCTTCGGAAAAACTCGGACAGCTCCTTGTCTTCCGCTCTCGACTACCGTAATTTCTACGACCACGGCAACTGGCGGCAACCTTTAATTACTTGAATTTATTGCAGTTGTTACGGAAACATTCCGAACCGCCGTCACACTGGCTTAACGGAAAACCATTCAGATAGATTGACGGAATCGTTGGGGAGATGTCACCGCCTCGTTGGGAAGATCTCACCGCTATGGATCTGCCGTAGCTAACAGCTACGTTAGCACGACTATTAGAGCCATCTGGAACATTTAATTGCCAATAAAGTGAGGGTGGGCCTGTCAATGAGATAGCGTTGGCTTATTTTTACAACGAGGAGTTTCGATTATTCCATCCGGTTGAGAGCAGATAAATGTGCTGTTCGCGTCAGGACGTTTTCCTTCCTCTTCAGGCAAGCCCTTCTATCGCGCTTCCTCGAAATTGTTGATAAGGCAACTGCAAAAGCAGTAGGTCTGATACCGTAGGACTCGCAAGATGTCATCTGCCTGCTTCTCGCTGAGCTTTGTATATCCATTTGCCTTCGAGAACGAATAACCTTCAATGGGTTTCATTAAGCTCAAGGCTGCTCAGCCTTTCGCGATTTTCAACCAGCGCGGCCAGCGGGTGATACATCGATATAATTTTCCTGCCAGTTCACCAACAGATTGAAATTGATCCAACTTCTCCCAGTACATTCATGATCCCCTTGAGAAGATGAGCAGCTGCATTCTGTTCCATGTGACAGGAGCACAAACTCCACCAACAGCGCCAGTTGTGCTGCATCGACACGGGGCGGAGCTTGGCGAATCGTGGTCCCACGGTTCACATCCCTGCCAGCCGGCTTGCCCGTTGTCTATTCACACTCATTTTATGCTGTTTGTTGGGGTTTCGTCGAAGAACTTTTCTTTACGAAGCTCGGCTATCGGATCCATCCTCTCCGTATTCATTATGACAATTATTCTTCGTGCTAATAGAGCCCGTAAATCTTATTTCTCGCCATGATCCTATTCTCTGTTCCCCCGGCCAATTCAATTAAAGAAGAAAAGCCAAAGTGGACGCTGCATTACGTTGCGAATCAAATAAATGACGAGGCGAAGGAGGAATAAGTTATCCAGCAGAATACAGCCTTCTGCCTCGCGTTGCCATGAGAGAAAGGCGTATGGAAGCCTCTGCGACTTCGAATATTATTTCCTTTCTTTTCCATGACTAAAGCAAAACTTGACTGCATCTCATTCCTTGAACTTATTAAACATGCAAAATTAAGTCTCGGTACATGCCTTCCGAGTTTTTATAGTTCGATCTGAATTCCTTCGCCTTTCTTAATCGTTTTGCCCTAGCGTTATCGCAAAGCTTTTATTCGCCTTTGGTGACCTTTCAATTAGATTTCAGTAAGTATGTCGTCAGACCCAAGACGTGTCTCTCTGTTTAATCGATGGCAACAGAAACAATCCGATGTACCAACTGGTTTGGAAGGTATCAATGAAGAGGAACTGATCGAGTACAAGGAAGCATTCCGGCTTTTTGATAAGGTACAGTACTTCTCCGCGTCTTACTGGCTCGATTCTCTTGCTAGGACCCAATGGTGCCCTTTAAAATGCCATTTTTTCGATCCGATCTGATTGAAGTCAACAACTTTTGTAACATTAAAAATTCGTAATTAACCCATCATTAAAGGAAAGGGACTTTAAAAAATTTCTGTAAAGTCGGTTCACTGACATACTACACCTTTCAGGACGGTAACGGTTCCATCTCATCCAAAGAATTAGGAGTCGCAATGAGATCTCTAGGACAGAATCCCACTGAACAAGAACTACTCGATATGGTAAACGAAGTAGATATTGATGGCAGTGGTACTATTGACTTCCCAGAATTTTGTCAAATGATGAAAAGAATGAACAAGGTCAGTCTACCGTATTTCTCACAGATTCATGTCTTTCTTTTCATTTCTTTCAATCCACTTGTTATTGCCACGGACTGACTGATTACTGCGATCTTTCTAGCCCCCAAGTTGTAGTTTGAATCCCTATGGCATAGTAAATCCGCTTGAACTGTTCCATTTGGTGCTTAGGCTGCCCCATCGATCCTCTTGCCATGAGTGGTACATCAAGTTGTGCTCTCAACTTAATGTTTATCATTTTAACGCACCACAGATCCTATTTAAGACATTGTTGCTCGATCCGACTGGGAGAACAGCCCTTAATTTCAATGTAGCATGGGACAGCTTCAAAAACAAATGCGTTTGAGGGCTCATTCAATGGAGAGATCCATGAAATAGCGGGTGGCCTCCGTCTGGCAAGAGTCGGCCATTTTCAGCGGCACCACAAAGCGCTAAATCGCCATTATCGGTGCCAGCAGCCCAAGCAGACGATACTGGCTTCCAATGCCGCTAGTGATATTTACGTTTCAACAAGATTAGAATCGAGTTGTCACCTTTCTTATGAACCCCATTTCAGGAAAATGACAGTGAAATGATCCGAGAGGCATTCCGTGTATTCGACCGTGACGGTAATGGATATATCACAGCGGAAGAGTTTCGCTATTTTATGACGCACATGGGAGAACAATTCAGTGACCAAGAAGTTGACGAAATAATCGCCGAAGTTGACATTGACGGTGATGGACAGGTAAGAAAGACATCAATGTTCATTCTCGGGGTTTCTCGGATTTCCTTCTTCTTAGAACTCCCTCTTCTTAAAGTCAGAGTGTCAAGTTGTCTAAGTTCTTTTCGGAATCCGAAGCATTCAAAGCAGAAGAAAGATATTTCGTACTTTCACACTGCTCAGAGCAGCTGTTGATGACGTGACATGAGAGCTATCCGTTCACCTACCCTTATGACCCTCAAGCTGTTTTCCGTTGAAAATCTGAACGATCACTGACTGCGTCAGTCGTCGATAATGTTTCAAACAACAAACGACATACTGTGTCATGAGTTAAAGTAAGCAAGTTTGCTTGTAATTCAACTCCAGCGGCTTGTAGAGCTTCTCATCTGAATTAACAGATGGTAAATGAACGAAAGATGAACTGCAGTGTTTTCCACTCAATTTCAACCGTCAATCAAAAATGACGGGCCCAAAATTTTATCTTTCGCTTCAAAACCACATATCGGCAGCTTTCAAAGCCGTCGATGTCTATCGCTGTGGTCGGCTTCTTGGATTGATGGCAAGACAAGAGGAATCACCACGCGAAAAGCGAGCCACCTCCCCGGAGATTTCGTTCTTAGCCGTCAATTCAATTTAACCTCACGATATATGTGTCTTCACATCGAGCATCCCCCTCATTGCTATTTTCAGTAGCCATTTTCAATGAAAAATAGCTATCGATCGGATAGCCCTAGAAAAGACACCTGCCTTTGAAATTCTTTGCAAATTAGGTAAAGCCATACTTGTTGCTATGGCATTAGCCATTTCCAAGTAGATAGCCCATAAAAACTGCACGAACAGGGTGGAATAAAGTCACGAAATGTTTCGTTTTCAATTTTAATTGAACTTCTATTGACGCTTGGAATTTAATTAACGAGACTACTCCATAAGAGAGTCAGTCAACCGGTAGTGAACAGAGGGGAACAACAACAACAACAACACCATCACATCCCACCATAGCCGTAGCCATTGCCATTGCTCATGGACTGACTGACAAATTGCCATTTTTCAGATTGACTATGAGGAATTTGTGAAGATGATGACGATGCCGTAATAAGGGAAAGATCGTGTCGTGCAGTCGCTGTCCATAGAATCTCAGCTTTGACTTCTTCCCACTGATGGATACGAAGAAGTCAACTCATTTCGCGGGTTCTTGCATACATTCTTGTTTGCACGCAAGTTGTAATGCTTCGATGTTCTTTTTCGTGTCAGGTATATGGAAAATTCTTATAATTAAGCGGGCGTCTTAACGTTACATAAATATTTCTAGTTCTGTTTGCTATTTTTGACTTTCCGGTAACTCGTACTAGCTATCTGAATCCTTAAATCCAGGAGTTCGTCAAAGTTTTCCAAGCATCGCACGTTCAACTGAACTATTCGAACACATGTCCTCATATCACTTGACTATCAATCTTTGCTGGAGGCTTCATTCCTCTTCTCGCCCTCGTAAGCCCATCGCGACGACGACGATAAGTGGGGGAGGGTAGGGTGTAACGGGACAAAAACAAAGGGAAATACCTCTTCTCTCCAGTCCGAAGGAATTACACCATTGTGACGAGTGATAGGTGTTCATGTGTTGATGCCAGTATGGCCAGTAGTATGCTGAGCTCTTCCCAGTAAATCAAGTCAAAGGAAGGTAGCCAATTTCAGTCCCAACTCTGAGACAGCAGGAGAACCAGAAATTCAAGACAATAATGGAAATTGTCAGACATCTAGTTGCAGTCCTTGCATTTCAGCTTTCTCAGGCTTTCATTGCCTCCCACCGAATCCTTTCGGAACGCGAATAGGTCCATGAACCTAATAAAAACCGAACAATTTTATTAATGAGCCACACATTTGGCTCCACTTCAGTTCCCAGAATCACATCCCGCAGGACAATGTGATGGATTTCGAGGGCCGGCAGAAGTCACACAGGGACAATTGAAGCTTGTATGCTTCCTACACAAGATGACACCATCCAAGAAAGCAGGAAATATGGGTAGCAAGGTTGTTTTTGAGGGTAATCGACCCACCCCCAAGGCCCTACTCTCCCGGGTGTTTAAGGTATCAAAAGGTGTATTACATCCTCGATAAGCAAACGGACGTGATTAATTATTCAGTCGATCACTACTGTAGTCATTCAAAACAAATTTCTTTCCATCAGAAAAACCCATTCCTTCGTTTTTTTCTCCCAAATTCTTGCTGAAACATGTGACTCGGAATATGTTCCAGGCAATAAATCTTTTTGAAACAACTTGGCGAGGGAGGGACTGTGTAGTGTAAAGGGCACAAGTAACGACCATTATCGGGTTATCCCCTTTTGTGAGATGACTGTCAGTTCCAAGGGGAAGGGCCCAATAATAGAAGGACGATCCTGGCGCTTGTGCTGTCATTCTAGGCGCTATTTTTTGACAAAAAAAATAATGGCCGTAGCCATTATGACATCATATGATTGACAAAAAAGTACAAACCCATAGTGAAGAGTACAACGTTGCGAATAATGCCGACATATAGCATACTGTAACAAGACGTCGTTGAGGAGACAACAAGTGCTGTAAGTACGCTGATGGTCCCCAGAGAAATGCGAAACTAAAATAAAATCATTCATCAACTGAACACATCAACAATTACGCCATTACGGGTAACCAATTACCGCTACTCATGCTTCATTGAAGCTATATTCATGGCAATGATGATGCCGAAATGCTCGCTCAACAGGTTTAGTTTTCGCTTCAAAAAATTCACTCTTAATTATAAAAATATTTGTCGTTTCCCCCTTAATCACAGCATAAATCCCATAACCAATCACAGCGTTACCGTACGGCACAGAAACTACAAACTACCGTATCGTATAATAGAAGGGCACTGTGATCAGCGTGCATTGACAGCACCGTCTTCATGGTTAGGGGTGGGGAAAATGCCTTAACGCTCCCAATTCTCCAAAGCGTAACTAAACACCTGATTTTTTTTTCATTACGTGTAAACTTGATGGTCTCTAGATTTTGTATGGACTCCTGGCACGATTGGTGAGTTCACACCTACATACCGTATCAGCTCCTGCTAGTTCTTATCGATCGAGTTTTTACTCTATTGAAAGCACATCATCATGGCAGCTTTGAAAGTCCACTAACTGGAAAGTCGATCTCTTGAGAATACTTCGCAGGCATTTGGCAAGTTTTCTCTAGAAAAGCCGATGATGGAACTTTCAAAAAAGTGCCAGTGAAGTGGGCGAACCCTCTTTCCCGAAAGTGTTTCCGAAAAAACTCCAAAAGACATCGTCAATTCTCGCTCGAGTTTGGATTGCAAATGAAGTATCAAGCTTTTAACTGAGAAATGTCGGACATCGTGGAATGGTTTAGTAGATACGATCAAACCCACACAAAGTGGTAGCCAACCTGTTTGCTTCCTACACACTTGAGGCGAAAGCTTAAAAAGACCTAACTGGTGGAGCTTCGTATTGTTCAAGTACAGGGGTGACTATCGCATCTTCATCTCTACATCTATGAAAAACCATTTCCAGATCAGACGATCCTGAATCCTTAACTAAAGGCACAGTTCACGATAAGAGTGGTTTCTGAGATTTCCCTATAGGATGAATTTGAGGTTCTCTCGTATACCATAACTGGCGCTATCAGGTCTGAAACGCCCTAAACAGGGAAGCCATGTAACCATTTCAAACAACTTGCCATGAGTAATAGCGACTGTGAAAGGCAATTCTGTACAGTTGTGGTTTTATGTATTCAGTTCTTTGCGCAATTGTAACAACCGAAATCTCGCCCGAATACCCCTTCCACGTTATTTCCGTCATGATTATCTCGTCCAACCTCTATTTTCACTACATTTAAGGAGACTTATTTTTCTCGAAATCGGCGAATTTTCTCGAAAAGGGGTACCTCAAAATTATCGTGAACTGTGCCTTTACGATGAGTGAAAAATTAGCTGGATATTTATCCAAGGCCGGCCCCAACAACTGACCATCAACAGAGAATGGGCCGTATTTGGAGGGACATAGTGGGAGTATCTACTGGAAGCTCTTAAAAGTAGGCCAAAGATCTTGTGCACCATCTGATCAGGTATTTCATCAGTACCCGCCTCGACAACAGGCCGACAGATGAGGAAAATGACGGTGATCGAGTACCTCTTCTGCTTTAAAAACTTCAAATCTTTTGATGAAGTAAGTCAAACTTACTGGTTAGCCACGAAATGGCCTCACATTTCCAAAATAAAAGGGCTTAACGAAGCCTATGTCTTCCCCATTTTGGATGATGATGCACTTTCATTCAAACATGAAATTGGTATAAGACAAAAAGACTAAGCCACCAGCGTTGATTAATCCCATTTCGAGATGCACCCACACACTGGCTCCTATTCAGAATACTAATTTCTTTTGAAATGGGCATAGCACATTCAATGACCTATGTACTAGTCAGAGCCTTGCCCTGCCAAAGAGGTTTGCTACCAACCAACCACCTGAAAAGATGTATGTCTCGTCAGTATGGAAGGCTACTGATCCAGAAACTTATTCCGGGCCGCACGTCGACACGCCGACGACACTTCAGTGCATATCAGGCCTGTACAATGACTAGGGTACCAACCAACATATGCCAGGTTTTTCATCTTCCTAAACGAGCTTGGCTGTTTTTATCCAACCTGAAGGGGTGTACGGCTTGGTGGGGCTGGGTTCTCATCTCTCCGAGATTCAATCCTCCAACCATGCGCGTGACAATCACTACAACCCCACCCCCTCTGTCCTATCGAGGACATCGTCAAGTTCAGAAACTGATGGAGTGGCCTACAATTGGAAGAAATCTGCTTTTAAAATGAATGGAAATCAAGAGTACTGATGGACTCCTTACAAAGGGGTCTTTTTTCTCTCACAGCTCTAAACTCCTTCCGACGTGAAGAGCAATGAAACCAACTGACATGGAATCGAGTAATTACTCATAAGGTTCAGTTTGCTTCTACGATGTTGAAGGTTTCATTTACTCAATAGTGCTATGCCACCGTACACATGCTCATCAGAAGACTCATCAAATTGATAGGCTTTCCCTAGTGTCGGCTTTCACCTGGATCACGTTCGGACTTTACCCCATAAGCAACATGTGCTTCACTCACGAGGAGATATGCAGCCACTACAGTTTTTGATCACAAAGAAAAGGCTCTATTCATGGGCGTATTTGACTGGAACCTCTTTACGAACAGGTCTTTTTTATCTCACAGTTCTAAAGTCCTTTCGACGTGAAGAGCAATGAAACCAACTGACATGGAATCGAGTAATTACCCATAAGGTTCAGTTTGCCTCTACGATGTTGAAAACATCAACTCTCACGGAAACGATTACTCTGGTTTCCGGTCTAACTAGTATTAGATGAAAATCAGACCAACAATTACCTAATTGAAAAACAAATCCCTAAATGCTTCCAGATTAACTGCTGATTAGATGGAAAAACAATTCCCCTGTTGACAACAATGTGTGATTGTTTTTTCCAACCTCACTCGCTTTTGTAAGCAACAATTTTAAAATTGCGTAGGAGGTGTATGGAGGGGAAGGGGAGATGAAACATGGAGTAAGCTCAATGGTGCCCTGCCACGGGCTTACTACGGTTCCAAGCTTAATTTGAAAGAGCATTCCACGGAATACTGCTTCCAATGAGGTTGTTGTGATGCGCCTGAAACAGCACTTACTAATCTTCCCCTACGGTACATCCTGTCTCGTCTCCATTTCAGAAGCCAAAGCGTAGACAGCCGACTTTTCGTAGGTTGGAATGTGCCACTACAAACAGCGAATTGACCCTACGCGCAGCTACGGCAGCGGCACATTCCGACGCATATCCCTATCCAGCTATCGAGAATGACCTCAATCCAGATGGAAGATGAGGTCATTCCTCGATAGCTGGATAGGGATATTAAACTAATGGAAGATAGGACCGATTTGTGGTTCAGTACCTCCTAGACCAACGAGCCTTTCCGTTCTTCCTGGCCTTCCTCGATCGGATAATTCAAGACAGACTGGTGGGAAGATAAAACACCAAATTGACCATAACCAAGCTCCGCAAGCCATTATAAAGACCGACCTGCGACCAAAGCTTCTACGAGTGGATGTATACTGGGGATCACGAGTCCCACAATCACTGAAGAGAGCCTTAACGCTCCTACGTTAACTCACTTTAACGCAACTAGGCAAGAAAAGTTCCAACAAATTTTTGCACCAAAACCACTTCGTCGAAATTTTCTGCAAATGAAGGTAAAGGTGTAGGTGAAGGCTAGCTACCCTTTTAGCGATTTACTTGATGCGGTCACTTACAAATATTGGCTTCAGCTCATCTCAAAAATGATATATCTGAAATGAGGTTTGATTCATCTAAATCTCGAGTACCTTTAACCTCTAGACGAAGCCAACAAATCCAAAACTCCAGTCAGCTGAAGCTGCACAACTTTGTTCGAGGCATTATAGATCCACTTGTTTGGGAGGATGAACTATGTCAAAATTTTTACACATGGCCAGTCGTATCAGTAGTAATATGGCTATTGTTTCACCTATTAAGAAATATCAAAGACTTTTTACCCGAGATCAAGCACAACACCTCCCATTCGCATGACTGCGTGCGCCAGCTATTTAGTACGTGATATGTAAGATCTCTTTGATTAAAGGCGTTTGCTCGTAAGTATCATGTCAGCATAAACAAATCTTCAACCTCTCAATAATGAGATCGAAAAGTGAATACGGTATCTAGTATGGCTCCTTTATGAAAACTTTCCATTGTAAAAAGAACCTCCGGAACAAGTTCGAAAACAGTAACTTTCATACCTCAACAACAGCAGCACACTGCCAAGTGTGTTCAGAGCCGCATATTTTCGTGTTGACACAATTATCATAGGAATCAGGAAGGCAGCCTGAAACTCGCTCTTTACAAATCCAGCTCTTCATACAATGACAAACAGTTATACAGCCTTATTTTAATGTTACATGCTGCCCGATGAATTCTTTTTCATATTAGTAGGATATCGACAACATAAAGAATGATAAGTATAAAATCTTTCTCGTCAATCCTTCCCGTTTCAGGAATGCGCCCCGCATTCGGCTGTCGTGGTGGCGCATAAAATGCAATATGTGACCTTCGCTCACAGATAATATAACACTATTGAAAATCGGACACCTTCAACAAAGTCTAGAGCGCCACATTTTTCGAAGACCAATTGCGAGAACAATCCTCTTGCTGACTTCTCCTTTTCCCACTGTTGCAACCTATTTATACCCTACAACTTCTTGGTATAAGCCTTAAAAGGCGTCACGCGATGAAAGAGAAGCCTAGCACAGGATATTGCTATTATTTCCTGACACACAATCATTATTTGTTTGCAAACTCGGGAGGGCGTTCCATGCTTGTCTCAATAAGGGACTCGCAGTGATCCAGTAGGAGGTACGAGAACCGTGCTTCTACATAAAAATGCTATAAAACCTAAGCGGCATTTAAACTTCGACTATAAACCTATTTTAGTGCAAAACTAGTCAACTTATTGACCATTAACGTCAAAGAAAACTCCTACCTCTCCGCGAAATAACCAGTCTTCATCCTCCTAGCTCACTTAGGAAAAGCCCAGGTTATATTTGCAATTACATTAATTCAGGAACCTATTAAAAAATAGGTCTATCACGAAATCTCTCCTTGAAAATAAGTAGGTCATGAAATTTCTCATCGAAAATGATGTTGTCATGAAATCTTTCCATCCCACATGAGCAAGTTCCCCAGAACTCCGTTGTACTAGTAAATCGTGAGCCCTTGACATGACCTCAAAGAAGACTGCGCCCCCCCCCCCCCCCCCACCCCAATTCGATTCAAAAGCTGCTGAGAGTGTTTGTGCTATGCAATCATGTTACTATTCTAAAAGTGTGAATGAATGTACTATTCCTATAGCCCGATTGTGTTTATGGAACTAAATATAGTAACGGGCTTGTCAAAAGAGGATTCAGACCTACGAGACCCTTGGTGTTTCTATCGCCACATTATAATTACAGTAGAACTAGGGTTCCTCATATAAATTGTTTTGTATTTCCATGAAGAACAGAAAGAGCTCTGAAATGTTAGCTTAGAGCACAGTGATATTAGAGTTGGAAAGACTTAGATGATTGTTCAACATAGAAAAAAGTGTGAGAAAAAAGCTTTTTTAAAGATTCCATGGATTTCTATAAGTAAAGCAGGATTTCAGCTAAGCGTAATGATGATCAGAATCTGGGAGAAATGATAGGTTAGGAGATCCATGATTGAGGGCCTAGTCTGAAGATGGAAAATAAAAGTGGACATCACAAACGAATCAAAAAATATAAAAAAAGAATAGACTTCCTAACACTATGAACTTTCAAAAAATAAAAAAATGTACAANAATAAAGGCAATATTAGACGCCAATAATTTACTTGCTTTATTGATTAAGTCTTAATATATCCCGTTATCGACTTTGGAAGTGAATGTCTACTTCATCAGTGTTTGATAGAGATCAGTCATTGCAAGAAAAGAAAAATTCTCGAGATTTTTCCGCAGAGCTATGAACCCTGAGTAACACCAAGTAATTACAGGGCCTGAACAGGCATGTACTCTGCAAGGAGAAGATAAAGGAACGACTGAAACTTGTACACCATCAAATTTGAAACTAAGCTATTACACTAGACTGGAGATCTCAGAGCAAGGTACGCTGAAAAGATCCAACAAGTTTTTTCTAAATTGGTCCCCTTTAAGTTTAACATGCGTTCCAACCCCCTCATTTATTGACTAAAATATCATACATGATGAATGATTGAAAGAACCAAACAGTATGCAAAAATAAAATCACACATTAATGCAATACACATGGAAATACATTTTCGATAGCGAATAGTAGCGAATTGATTGAGAAAGGAAAGGAAAGGCTGCGATTCGCAGAAAAGGAAAGAAAATAATTAGTCGATCAGAAGAAAACAAGAATGGACCCATTCTGTTAAATTTCCCGCTATATAACTGATCAACATTTGAAAGAATCAAATATTTCCTCTACAGAACAACGTCGTGGGGTACCACCTTGATGCGAATTCAGCTCTCCCCGAAATTTTCATAAGTAATTTTCAAGTCAAAGCTCCTAGTTATGAGTAACTTCAGGAAAGGATTTTTAGGGCAGACCATGGACCCAAACAGTTGCGCTATTTTACAACCTCGTCTATTTACATTCAATTCTGAATTATTATGTAAACGCAATTGAAAGCAGTGCCGATGTTACAGCAGTAACAGCAAGTAAATTTTGAAAAACAGTTAGATAGAGAGCTTCGGAGTGGTATGAAACACGAACGAAACTGTGTAATATACTTCATGTAAAAATGCTTAAAGAAAAAATTGCATTCACAGCAGCAATTCTTTCAAATAACTTAAGCATGTAAGAGCTTACAGTGAGCAAATTTCCAGGTTCCGTCTTCCACTATGAGTCGTCAGTGAAGAAAAAAAGAAAGTGAGTAGGGCCAAAGTGAAGAAACTATCAGTAAAAAACGTGACGATGAAGCAATAATACATTAAGGTTCCGAAATATTTCACAAAGGTCAAGCGACATTTCACGAAATATCTTCAAATCCCAAGAAGATAAAGTTAAAATTTCCCTGGTCTTAAAATGAGTAGACTAACTAGCGCGATCATCTATGAAAAACGAACATTCACAAGAATGTGATAATCANCAGTATAAAAAGCTCATAATGTTTGCTTGGCTCAAGAGAGTTGACGTAATGTGAGCAAGAAGATTATGCAATGAACAGACCCAGGGCTAAATATATTTCAGAGAGCATAATACCTATGTGCATATCTTATGCTCCGTTGAGATTCAATGCCAGGGAGGCACTGGAGATATTTTTTGGAAAGTCATCGAAGAATAGCTCAGAAAGTGTCTTGTCAATAGCGATACCGATAGCCCTAATCCTTAAACTGACTTAATTATCCGCCCTCCTCCCAAAATATAGATGCGTCCGAAGACACCTATGGCTTACGAGAATTAATAAATGTTAACAAAAATTATAAAAATGATGACATACCGTTGAGAAACAGAATATTGAGCCCAGTAACGAAAGAAAAAAGGCAAATATTCGTTGCGTGCGTGACATTCCAAAGAAGCCTTCATCTCCAGATGAAAACCAACCACCATTCTTTCTAAACATAACAACGTTTGAAGGGAACATAAGCATCACATAAATATGCAAAAGACAGAAACGCCGAACAACCTGTTCTTTGTATTCGGCAGTTGTCCATCACCAACGTGCTCACCAGTCAGCGATTCTGAATCAGCTGTCTCCGAACGCGACAGGAGGGGTAGCCCGCTTCAAGAAAAATTGAATAACAAACACCGACTTTGAGGACCGTTGTTATTAAAAATTCACCTCAAGGAAGAACTGAGTTTGCTCCTCAATTCACCAAACGAGCTGAAAGACGATGAACCAAGCCCACCGCTCAAACCACTTCCTCCTGCCTTTTTCTTTTGTTCATTTACAAAAGCTTCGAGGGCTGACATAAGCCCTGAAATCGTGATCAGTCCACAAATACTTGAGGATGTTAGAATAGAGGGGGTGGAATAAAGGGTAAAGCAAAGTGACATGACAGTAGATATGAGAAGCACACTTCTGATATATTTACACAAATACAAGATTTCGTTCAGATTTATTAATCTATGGTAGTCTACAGTACAAATCTATAAACGTCGTAACTTAATGGTGGGCATCCCATGAAGTTTTGCCATAGTAATAGTACTGGTATCCTTCTTCGATTGCAATCACCAACGCCGCNAATAAAGGGTAAAGCAAAGTGACATGACAGTAGATATGAGAAGCACACTTCTGATATATTTACACAAATACAAGATTTCGTTCAGATTTATTAAACTATGATAGTCTACAGTACAAATATATGAACGTCGTAACTTAATGGTGGGCATCCCATGAAGTTTTGCCATAGTAATAGTACTGGTATCCTTCTTCGATTGCAATCACCAACGCCGCGAGGCCAACACCACCTTTCCAACCGGGAAGAATCAGCTGAAAAAACAAATGCTCAAAGAGCTATATATAGGCATTGATTAGTTTGAGTCAATACCAGTTGAAAAGCAAGACAATACCATCTTGTCTCTCCACTAAACACGCAAGGAACAACCCACAAACCGTTCTTTGAACGTTTACAAATCGATTTCGTTCGAGAAAAACTTCAAAAATCTAACTTATGTTACGATAAGCAGCTCGTTATCGCCCATAACATTTGGAACAGGGAAGGACCTCACTAACAAAAATTTTCTAGAAGATAATATTTCTCCCTTTTCCCCCTTACCTTGACATGCCCACTACAAAGCTTCCTTTAGACCTTTCCAACAATTGTTTCCAAAATAAAAGGTGTGATCTGATTTCAGAACAAAAAGGAATCAG